TTTTTCAGTTTTTCTTTTGGTAAAATATCCATTCTGCACTTGTCTTAACTGACATCCAGCCCTGTCTTCTCTGAGATCCAGCCACTACACTAGCAGCTAGGGATAGAATAAGAATAAGAATAAGAATAAGAATAAGAATAAGAATAAGAATAAGAATAGAATAGAATAGCATAGCATAGCATAGCATAGCATAGCATAGCATAGCATAGCATAGCATAGCATAGCATAGCATAGCATAGAATAGAATAGAATAGAATAGAATAGAATAGAATAGAATAGAATAGAATTTTTATTGGCCAAGTGTGATTGGACACACAAGGAATTTGTCTTTGGTGCATATGCTCTCAGTGTACATAAGGAAAATAAAATACATTCATCAAGAATAAAAAGATACAACGCTTAGTGATAGTCAAGGTTACTAATAAGCTATCAAATCCTATTAAGAAACAAATAAAAACAATATAAATTGAAAGATACAAGCAACATGGTTATAGTAATAAGTGGAAAGAGATAGATAGTAGTAAGGAAGAGAAGAATAATAGTAATACAGTCTTAGTAAATTATTTGACAGTGTTGTGGGAATTAGTTGTTAAGCAGAGTGATGGCATTTGGGGAAAAACTGTTCTTGTGTCTAGTTGTTCTGGTGTGCAGTGCTCTATATTGTCGTTTTGAGGGTAGAAGTTGAAACAATTTATGTCCAGGATGTGAGGGGTCTGTAGATATTTTCACAGCCCTCTTTTTGACTCTTGCAGTATACAGATCGTCAATGGATTTTACAATCTAGGTTGTAAATCCCCTATTTTGGGTCTGTCATAACTTTGAATGATCACTAAGTGATCAGTCGTAAGTAAGGACTACCTGTATCATTCATCCATCAACCAGGAATAGGTGAGACCATTATTAACAGGCTTATAAAGGCAGCCTTTTCTTCTCTACAGTATACATCTAGCAAGGCTTGGGGACTTCTGTAAACTCAAGCCAAATTCCACAATGTTCAGTTTATGTTTCAGGTATTATATATATATGACATATAAAATCTAATTTTTACACGTTTAAAGATTGTGTAATTCGGTGCATTGGGTTGAACGTGCTTTGGTAATTTAATGGGGAGCGTCCATGTTTCTGTTTCTATCCTGTAGGTGTGACACCCATGCAGGTAGAAATTCAACAAGGAAACAGCCTGCCTTTGGGCAGTGTGGTGTACAGGAAGCAGCCATCCGACAGTCCTTCTGCAGCTTCAACTTCATTGCTTGCATCGTCAGATAATAGCTTTCAGTTTAACTTTGTCCTGCCTGAAAGAACCACAGAAGAAACAGATAGAAGCGCAGCAGAAGAAAATGGGTTGGGTGACTTGAGAGAACAATCTACTGGTAATGGCCTCTCTAGGATGCTGGACTTCTCCACTGGAACACAGCAGTCTGGCTTTGCTTTCAATTTCACCATCCCAGATGCTTCCTCGCCTTCAGGTGATGCCATAGATCCTGGCTCTGGAGCTTCAACAGAAGCAGCTCCAGAGAGAGGCAACTCATCCAAAAAAGCTATGGTGACCACAGAGAGATCAGCCTCTTCACAATCTGATAGAACTGACGGGAAGGATTGTGTAAGTAGACACGGTGAAGGACATCCTGTACAAGAGGTGCCAAGATTGGAAGCCACCCAAGAAGGTACGGGAACTGCTAAATTTTTATTTTTATTTTTATTTTTTTTATTTTTATTTTTTTTATTTTTTTATTTGATTTATATGCCGCCCTTCTCCGGAGACTCAGGGCGGCTTACAATGTGCTAAGCAATAAGCAGTAATTAATAATAATTAATTAATTAAGGCCTGGAAAGAAATCGGGTGAAATCCAGCAGGTTCTGACAGGTTCTGGAGAACCGGTAGCGGAAATTTTGAGTAGTTCAGAGAACCGGCAAATACCACCTCTGGCTGGCCGCAGAAGTGGGGAGGGAATGGAGATTTTGCAGTATCGATTCCTCCAGGAGTGGGGAGGGAATGGGGATTTTTCAATATCCTTTCCCCAGGAGTGGGGAGGGAATGGGGATTTTGCAGTATCCTTTTCCCAGGAGTGGGGAGGGAATGGGGATTTTGCACTATTCTTCCCCCAGGAGTGGGGAGGGAATGGGGTTTTTGCAGTATCCTTCCCCTGACATGCCCACCAAGCCACGCCCACAGAACCAGTAGTAAAAAAAAAATTGAATTCCACCACTGAAAGAAATATATGCCTATCGATCTTATACATGTTGGCGACTAATTCCAAGACAGGTAGTCCTCGATTTACGACCGTGATTGAGCCCAACATTTACGTTGCCGAGCAAGAAATTTGTTAAGTGAGCTTTAACCCATTTTACGACTTTTCTTGCCACGGTTCTTAAGTGGATCCCTTCAGTTGTTAAATTAGTCAGACGGTTGCTAAGTGAATCTGGTTTCCCCACTGGCTTGTCAGAAGGTCGCAAAAAAGAGATCACATGACTCCGGGGCACTGCGTCTGTCATAAATATGAACCAGTTGTCAAACATCTAAATGTCTATGGAGATTCTCCGTCATCCAAGGTCATGGATTGTCCCAAAGGTGCTTTTTTCAAGAAGCAGCTGGAGTTTCTGGGTTTTTCTTTGAAGATATTTCGACCTTCTCATCCAAGAAGCTTCTTCAGCTCTGAGCTGAAGTCAATCAGAACTGAAGAAGCTCCTTGGATGAGAAGAGAAACAAAAACCAGAAAGTTCAGTTGCCTCTTGAAAAAGCACCTTTGAGACAGCCGAATGTAAATCACATAACCATGGGGAAGCTGCAACGGTCATAAGTGTGAAAAATGGTCATGTCACTTTTTTCAGTGCCATTGTAACTTCGAACGGTCACTAAGCGAACTGTTGTAAATCAAGGACTACCTGTAGTAACTCATTTATTAGTAGAGCTGGCTTTTATCTCTGTACTATAGAGTTTACTGTAGATAGTCTTCGTTTAACTATGGCAGGGGTCTAACCTTAAACACTCAAAGAGCCATTTGGAACCGTTTCCCACAGAAAAGAAACACCAGGAGCCACAAAACCCTTCTCATGCCTGACTGTTTCTTGAGTGGCCACAAAACTAGCTCAGCCTTCCATCCTTCCGAGGTTGGTAAAATGAGGACCCAGATTGCCGGGGGCAATAGGCTGACTCTCTAAACCGCTTAGAGAGGGCTGGAAAGCACTGTGAAGCGGTATATAAATCTAAGTGCTAGTGCTATTGCTAAATTTTATTTTATTTTATTTTTTATTTTTTATTTATTTTTATATGCTGCCCTTCTCCGGAGACTCAGGGCGGCTTACAATGCGTTAAGCAATAGTCTTCATACTTTTTGTATATTTTATACAAAGTCAGCTTATTGCCCCCACAACCGGGTCCTCATTTTACCCACCTTAGAAAGGATGGAAGGCTGAGTCGACCTTGAGCCTGGTGAGAATTGAACTCGCAGTAATTGCAGGCAGCTGGATGTTAAATGCTGCCTTAGTAGGAGGCATTAGCCTCCTACACCACTCAGGCTCTGAGTGGCCACTCAGTCTAAGGGGAACTAAATCCCCTTAGTTCTGCACCATCGTAAATTGTTGAGCGAGTGGGCACTTGAACGCGGACTACCTGTAACGCATTAAATATACAACAGTGATTTTACAGAATAAAAAATACTTCTTTCCCTTGGTAAACAATTTTCAGGTAGGTGAAAGAGATACAAAGTAACATAAATCTAATGTTATCGATTAAACATAGCAAATGATTAAAGTTTTTTTAAAAATCTTTGGCACACAGCTTCAACAGAGGTTGCAGAAGAGAAATTGGTGGTGGCAGCTGGTGGACCATCTAAGAGAAAAAAGAAAAAGAAATCCCCACCGTCAAAAGTAGCACAGGTTGACAAAGGACGCGGAGACAACAAGCTTGGTGGTCAAGGAACATCTGAACAAGCTGAGATGTTACAGGCATGTAAAGATCTGATTGAAATGTGGGATAAGACAAGGACTGAGTTAAGGACTGATAGTGTAGTAATCAATGATGCAAGAAGCAGTCATATTAAGTCTCTACAGTAATTTATCAGTACAGATAGTCCTCAACATACGACCACAATTGAGTCCAGCATTTCTGTTAAGTGTAACATTTGTTAAGTGAGTTTTGCCCCATTTTACGACCTTTCTTGCCACCGTTAAGTGAATCGCTGCGGTTGATAAGTTAGTAACCCGGTTGTTAAGTGAATCTGGCTTCCCCATTGCTTATCAGAAGGTGGCAAAAGATGATCACATGACCCCGGGATACTGCAACCGTCATAAATACAAGTCAGTTGCCAAATGTATGAATTTTATATCTATATATCTATATCTATCTATCTATCTGTCTATCTATCTATCTATCTATCTATCTATCTATCTATCTATCTATCTATCTATCTATCTATCTATCTATTGTTTATATAGGAATATATTGAATAGAGTGTAATTGTTCTGGCATTCCACTTACCCTAAAACAAAAGTTAAAAAAAAACAGAATAACATATATACTACCCTGTTTCCCCGAAAATAAGACCTCCCTGGATAATAAGCCCAATCAGGCTTTTGAGCGCATGCGCTAAAATAAGATCTCCCCGAAAATAATACACCCCCCCCCAAAGGTTCTTGAAGGTTGAACCCAGAGGTAGGTTGACACAATATAATGCAGTTTTAAAAATGATGGTTTTAGTATGATGACTGAACCAGATCAGTACTTCTCGCTGCTTAAACGGAAATGTAGCTACTAAAGAAGGAGTCTAGCTGGGGGAATTCTGGGAGTTGAAGTCCAAACATCTTAACTTTGCTAAGGTTGAGAACTACTATTAGAGAACTTTTGTGAGATAATTTAGGGCAGGGGTCTGCAACCTTAAACACTCAAAGAGCCATTTGGAGCCGTTTCCCACAGAAAAGAAAACACTGGGAGCCAGAAAACCCTTCCCATGCCTGACTATTTCTTGAGCAGCCACAATTAGCATATGTAGTTGAAATAAATGTTCTGTTTTCTTCTGAAAATTTTCTTTTTTTGGATTTATCCATGGTTGGCCTACCGGGGATTGAAAAGCTCAATAAATCGCGTGCTGGCGGGTATCGCACATTGGCAGTTGTGACACATATTTTGAGTGACAGGGAGCCACAGCAGAGGGGTGAAAGAGCCACATGCGGCTCCAGAGCCGCAGATTGCTGACCCCTGACTTAGAGAAACAAGGTGCTAGAAGTAGTTAGCTTGCAGTGTCCTGCTCAACTAATTCTCGTTTTCCCTCCCCCTGAATGTAACAGCCAGATGATCAATTGAAGAGGGAGGTAGACTGGTGTGTGGAACAGCTGGAACTCGGCTTGAAGACTCAAAAATCCTCCCCAAAACAGAGTGAGTGAGCTTGCTTGAAATCAAATCGTTTGCTTATTTATTTCATTCAACTTCAGCGCCTCTTCTCCAACTCCCAAGAGCCTGGTGGCGCAGCAGACTAATAGCCTGTTATTAACATTCAGCTGCCTGCATTACTCCCCAGGCTCAAGGTTGACTCAGCCTTCCATCCTTTCAAAGGTAGGTAAATTGAGGACCCAGTTTGTGGGGGCAATAAGCTGACTTTATGTAAATATACAAAAGTATGAAGGCTATTGCTTAACGCATTGTAAGTCGCCCTGAGTCTCCGGAAAAGGGCGGCATATAAATCAAATTTTAAAAAAAGAAAAAAAAACTCCAACTAACTTTTGGGCAGGTCACAATGTATTACCCTAAAAAAAAAAAAATCCAATAGAAGCCAAAACAAGATGGGATCCGATAAATCTATGCAGATGGACCCAGAAATAACAAGGACCACACCCAAGAAGGGATCCCATCCCGAGGCCCGAGAGAACAAACAAGTCTTCCATGATTTTAAGGCTGCAATTATCAAAAGTTTATGATTCTTCGTAACTAAGAAGCTTGTAGGAATCAGCAGATGGCAGCAGTCAGCCAACCTTGAATTATCTCCAAAAAAAAAAATCAGCAGTGTTAGGGCTGATCTGTATTTGGATGGAAAACCTCCACGTTAGACTGAAAGAATGTGGAGAAAGAAAGGGAAAAAACCCTACCTATTATATCACAGCAATGGCCAGTCACCTCCATACTGATGCCAGAAAGAAAACAGCATTAGCCACCAAGAGCCAAATCTGACCTGATGGGAACCATTCCTTTTTCTTTCTTTCTCTTTTTTGGAACAATTTTTTAATTAAGGCAACCTCGGTGCCTTCCGCCGTGCCCTTAAAACTTTCTTTTTCCAGCAAGCCGGGCTGGCCTAACCCTTTTTAAATGTTTTAATTGGTTTGTTACTGTTTTTAATTATGGGGCCAAATTTATATATATATCTTTTAATGGTATTTTAATATTTGTACTCTATGTTTTTATGTGGCTGTACACCGCCCTGAGTCCTTAGGGAGAAGGGCGGTATACAAATTCAAAAATAAAATAAATAAATAAATAATTTTTTATTTCTTATACAAATAATGTAAATGTACATTCTCTTATACATAATTAATCATACATGTACATATTTTCTTAAAGAAATCATTCAAATAAGACATTTTAATTGCATTCGGGGTTGCTCATCTACCCTTTCTTTTCCCTCGTTTCACAACAAACCTTCTTCCTTTCCCTTCCCTCCCTCCTCTCCTCTTCTACTTCCTTCCTCCTCCTCCCTCTTTCCTACTTCCCCTTCCTTTCCCCCGCTCCTCCCCTCTTTCCCCCTATTCTCTCCTTCTCTTCTACTCCTCTCCCCTGCCCTTTCTTTCCCTCCTTTCCCCTTTCTTCCAGTCCTCTCTCTCCCTCTCCTCTTCATACCCTCTATTCCTCTCTTCTTTCTTTCTTCCTTGTTGTGAAATATATTCCCTCTTTGGTATCCGAGCAACATCAATATTCTAATAATATATATTTTCCTTTCAATTTCTTTTCATTTTTACCCTGACCATTCCTTTTTCTTGATTGGGTTGTCCAAGTCACACCTTCTCCACTCCTGATACTTTGGAAATGAGGAGAAGAAAAAGCCAGAATTTTGTGGATATCATATAATAATAATAATAATAATAATAATAATAATAATAATTATTATTATTATTATTATTATTATTATTATTATTATTATTATTATTTTATTTCTATACCACCCTTCTCCTGAAGGACTCAAGGCGGTGTACAGCCTAATTAAAAGCACAAAGACAAACAAAATTTAAAAATAATTAAAATTATTAAATAATTGGCTCAATGATAAAACCCCAAATTTAAAATCCCACATTTAAAACCAATTAAGATCTTTACATTGATAGCCCGGCCTGGCGGAACAAGAAGGTTTTGAGGGCACAGCGAAATATACGGAGGTCGGAGATCTTACGCATTTCTGGGGGCAATTCATTCCAAAGGGCAGGGGCTCCCACAGAAAAGGCCCTCCCCCTGGGTGTCGCCAGCCGACATAATTTGGCCGATGGCACCCTGAGGAGACCCTCTCTGTGGGAGCAGACTGGCCGGTGGGAGGCTACTGGGGGAAGAAGACGGTCTCGAAGGTACCCAGGTCCAATGCCATGGAGCGCTTTAAAGGTGGTGGAGCCCCATCTTCAGTAAGGATAAGGTCCCTGAGTCCTCCAAGTTCCATCAGCCTGAAACACTGGCCATGTGTCAGGGTTCCAACGGATGCCCTAACTAAATCATGAGTCTCGAACCAAGCTTCAAAAGAAATCCAGTTGTTTATTAGGAGCTCCATGTCAGCAGGTACCCAAATGAAGCCAACTCTGACCCCACGTAATTTACGGCCCTAATCAGGACCCTGTTTCCGCCCCCCCCGTCCCCCCAGGGTGTGTCATCAATCACATTCGCCAACGGAGCAATTTTGCGGGTTGTAGAGACCACTCCCTTCCAGCCGCTGTTGGTAACCCTGGGAGACAGCCTTGAGAAAGATATATCTGGAATGGAGCAGGCCAGGGATGCTTTGCGAGTTGATACCACGCTGGTGGAGGATACGAAACTATATATGTGATTTTACTCAGACATCACCAGTTTTAACAGTGTATGGAGGGTCACAGGTTCCTAATCTTCTTCGAGTGTCTGGGAGTTCCAATCAGAAGGAAAAGAACAATAAATATATTTACTGACAGTAAGAACCATTAATCAGTGGAACGACTTGCCTCCAGAAGTTGTGGAGCTCCAACACTGGAGACTTTTAAGAAGAGATTGGGCAGCCATTTGTCTGAAATGTTATAGAGTTTCTTGCTTGAGCAGGGGGTTGGACTAGAAGACCTCCAAGGTCCCTTCCAACTCTATTATTCTGTTATCTAGGCACCTCTTGTTCCTGCAGTCTTTTCCTGTTTATGGATTGTGGTTTTTCCCCAATTGCTTACGCTCATCCTTTCCCTGACCTTGATTGCACAATGGAACAGTCCTGGTTCATTTATTACTTTGAGGATGTTCCTTCCAAGATTGTCAACATCCTGTCAAGAAGACTTAAAAATGCAGGGTGTATTCCAATAATACCATGACATTGAGATACCACAATGACAACTCCAGAAGCAGACACTGACCAATGAAAAACTTAACCAAACTTATTCCCTTCTGAATTTTATCTTGGGGAGAAAAATAGATCTGCTGCATTTATCCATTTAAGCGGGTTTTAAAAGCGTGTGTCGTATTATTTAATGTTTCATCACCCTAAATGCATATTTATTTATTTATTTAGTATTTATTTATTAGTTCAATTTATATGCCGCCCTTCTCCAAAGACTCAGGGCATGCACTTAAAATGCACTTATAGCAATAGCCTTCATTCTTTTTGTATATACCTGCTCATTAGGGCTTTTGGCCCCCCCATAAGTGGTGTTTCTACAAAGTCAGCTTATTGCCCCCAACAGTCTGGGTCCTTCATTTACCTACCTCGGAAGAATGGAAGGCTGAATCAACCTTGAGCCTGGTGAGATTTGAACTAGCGCTAATTGCAGGTAGCTGGCAGCTAAGTGCTACATAACAGCACTTAGTCCGCTGCACCACCAAGGCTCTATATTCAGGCAGTCTTCGACTTAACAGCCACAATTGCGACCGGAATTTCCATGGCTAAGAAAGGCAGTGGTTAAGTTGAGTCCCACCTGATTTTACCACCTTTTTTCCCGTGGTTGTGAAGCGAATCACAACAGCTCTTAAGCGAATCACATGGTCGCTCAATGAATTGACAGTCACTGCATGACATCTGAAGACATATTTTTGCTTCACGTCCTACTGAGATCATCCATGTCCTTGACCCTTGAATCCCCTTTGAGGAATGGCAAATGATCACTCCTTTGGGGTGAAGGGTTAAAGCAATTTTAGCTGGGTGGACATGATAGCAGTCTTCCAATATTTGAGGGGCTGCCACAGAGAGGAGGAAGGGGGTCAAGCTATTCTCCAAAGCATCTGAAGGCCAGACAAGAAGCGATGGATGGAAACTGAACAAGGAGAGATTCAACCTGGAAATAAGGAGAAATTTCCTGACAGTGAAAACAATCAACCAGTGGAACAGAAGTTGCCTTCAGAAGTTGTGGAAGCTTCATCCCTGGAAGCTTTCAAGAAGAGATTGGACTGCTATCTGTCAGAAATGGTGTAGGGTCACTACACTATAAAAAAAATGTTGAGAGGCTAGAAAAAGTGCAGAGAAGAGCAACCAGGATGATTCGGGGACTGGAGGCTAAAACATACGATGAACAGTTGCAGGAACTGGGCGTGGCTAGTCTAGGGAAGAGAAGGACCAGGGGAGACATGATAGCAGTCTTCCAATATTTGAGGGGCGGCCACAGAGAGGAGGTAGTCAAGCTATTCTCCAAAGCACCTGAAGGCCGGACAAGGAATAATGGATGGAAACTGAACAAGGAGAGATTCAACCTGGAAATAAGGAGAAATTTCCTGACAGTGAGAGCAATCAACCAATGGAACAGAAGTTGCCATCAGAAGTTGTGGGAGCTTCATCACTGGAGGCTTTCAAGAAGAGACTGGACGGCCATTTGTCAGAAATGGTGTAGGGTCTCCTGCTTGGGTGGGGTGGACTAGATGACCTCCAAGATCCCTTCCAACGCTGTTATTCTGTTAAGATTTATTTCTCTCTTCCTACTAAGGGGTGGGGAGGGGAGATTTGGCACTGTTAGGACTGTTCTTATAGAACAGTGTTTCTCAACCTTGGAAGCTTGAAGATGGGTGGACTTCAGCGCTGCTGGCTGGGGGATTCTGGGAGTTGAAGTCCACCCATCTTCAAGCTTCCAAGGTTGAGAAACACTGCTATAGAACAATTAACCAGTGGAACAGCTTGCTTCCAGAAGTTGTGGGTGCTCCATCCCTGGAAGTTTTTAAGAAGAGATTGGATAACAATTTGTCTGAAGTGGTGTAGGGTTTCCTGCCTAAGCAGGGGGTTGGACTAGAAGACCTCCAAGGTCCCTTCCAACTCTGTTATTCTGTATTCTATTCTATTCTTTCCAGCGGAGGAAGCTCTCCGCGCCATCAAGACGTTGCGCAGCAAAAAAGCAGTGTTGGCGAAGAAACGTCAAGTGATGCGTCTGATGTTCGGCGACTACCGAGCAAAAATGGCAGAGGAAAGGCAGAAGCAGCTGAAGCTCTTGCAAGCAGGTAAGGAGAAGGGGGATTTTTATTTATTTATTACATTGTTTTTTTTAAATCCCAGATTTATTATTTTATAGGTAGGGAGCAGATTGGAAGTTGGAAACAGCATTGGAATATAACTTATTTGTTTGTTTATTTGTATCCCACTTTATTATTATTTTTAAATAACTCAAGGCCGCGAACACATCCAACACACTATCCTCCTCCTATTTGCCCCACAACAACCCTGTGAGGTGGGTTGGGATGAGAGAGAGAGGGACTGGCCCAAGGTCATCCAGCTGGGTTTGATGCCTAGGGTGGGACTAGAACTCACCATCTCCTGGTGATTGGCTCAAAGTCACTCCACTGGCTTTCATGGCTAAGGCGGAACTAGAACTCACTGTCTCCTGGTGATTGGCTAAAAGTCACCCAGCTGGCTTTCATGGCTAAGGCGGGACTAGAACTCACCGTCTCCTGGTGATTGGCTAAAAGTCACCCAGCTGGCTTTCATGGCTAAGGCGGGACTAGAACTCACCGTCTCCTGGTGATTGGCCCAAAGTCATCCAACCTGCTTTCATGGCTAAGGCGGGACTAGAATTCACCGTCTCCTGGTGATTGGCTAAAAGTCACCCAGCTGGCTTTCATGGCTAAGGCGGGACTAGAACTCACTGTCTCCTGGTGATTGGCCCAAAGTCATCCAACCTGCTTTCATGGCTAAGGCGGGACTAGAACTCACCGTCTCCTGGTGATTGGCTGAAAGTCACCCAGCTGGCTTTTCATGGCTAAAGTAGGACTAGAACTCACCGTCTCCCACTTTCTAGCCTAGTCTAGCTAGCAGCTGAAGAAGCTTCTCGGATGGGAAGCAAAACGTCTTCAAAGAAAAGCCAGAAAGTCCAGTTGCCTCTTGGGAAAAAAAAAATGTTTTCCAGCTTTTCCTCAGTTTACAGGTTCCAACTATTTGAGCTAGCAAGGCAATTCGGGGAAAATAAAAAAGGTAGGCAGAGCGTCGCGAATGTCAGACTTTCAATTTGTTTGCATTGATCTTTCATCTCTATCCTTCCACCCCACTTAAGCTTCAAAAGCAGCTCACATCACAGAGGTGAACGAAGAGGCTCAGAAGAAGAGAAGCCAGGTATTCAGAAAGTCTGCAGAAGGAACCAGAACCTGCAAGAACCTTCAAGAACCTTCTTGCTGTCAACCACCAGCTTGTCTCGGATCAAGAGACCCTTCCTCTTTTAAATTCAGACCATCGCAAGAGGAATTCTGCTTTAACTTTTTCTAAGCAATCGTTTTGGGCCCCAGGATACTGAGCTCCTTTGGGGGGGGGCAGGAGAAAAGCAGTAATGAGAGGGTGGGACCCCGAATGGCAAGCATGGCCTCTGAAAAGGGGGATAATTGCACAATTGGAAAATTCTAAGTTGATAAAGAAAGACTAACAAAATAACGGGGTTACAATCCTGGGTTTATGAATTCAGTGCTAAATTCAAGCTGCAGGGGGGGAAATACCTGATTTGATGCATTTTTTTCTATGCAAATGCTTTCCTAAATGGGACAAGTGATTGAGAGCTAAGGAGAGTCGCCTGACTGTGAGATGGGCGGCAAATAAATTTAATAAATAAGTAGATAAGTGAACAAGATAGTAGCAAACCTGCTTTCTCTTCACACACACCCTGCAAAGAGATGGAAAATCCGATGAGAGGCATGCATGTGTGAAAATTATCATGGCTTATTGGATACTCTGTTCTTTAAATTCTTCAAATTCTTTAGAGAAAAGCCCAAACGTATGCCCGAAGGTGATTGTCAGCTGACCACAAGCCGTAACCAAGTTTGATCTCTCTGCCTTTAGGGAAATACCTTGATCTGCCAACTTTCTATGCCAGGGGTCGGCAACCTTAAACACTCAAAGAGCGATTTGGACCTGTCTTCCCACAGAAATAGATGGGGAAGAAATGGAGGAAGTGACAGATTTTATTTTCCTGGGCTCCAAGATCACCACAGATGGGGACTACAGTCAAGAAATTAAAAGACATTTGCTCCTGGGGAGCAAATCTAAAAAGACAGCATTCTAAAAAGCAGACATCACTTTGCCAACAAAAGTGCGTCTAGTCAAGGCGATGGTTTTCCCAGCTGCAATGTATGGCTGTGAAAGTTGGACCATAAGGAAGGCTGAGCACCAAAGAATGGAGGCCTTTGAACTCTGGTGCTGGAGAAGACTCCTGTGAGTCCCTTGGATTGCAAGACGATCAAACCAGTCAGTCCTAGAGGAGATCAACCCTGACTGCTCTTTAGAAGGCCAGATCCTGAAGAGGAAACTCAAATGCTTTGACCACCTAATGAGAAGGAAGGACTCCCTGGAGAAGAGCCTAATGCTGGGAACGATGGAGGGCAAAAGTAGAAGGGGACGGCAGAGAACGAGGTGGCTGGATGGAGTCACTGAAGCAGTTGGCGTGAGCTTAAATGGACTCCAGGGGATGGTAGAGGACAGGAAGGCCTGGAGGAAAGTTGTCCATGGGGTCGCGATGGGTCGGACACGACTTCGCAACTAACAACCCACAGAAAATAAAACACTGGAAGCCACAAAACCCTTTTGACATCTAAAATGAATATAACATTGCATATATATATATTTAACCTTTATGCTATGTATAAAAAAAATTACAGTGTGTTGCATTTATGAAATGAATGAACTGCTATAGAGAGAACAAATTTTTATTTCTGCATGCAACAAAAACATTTTGAACTCCCCCCCCCAAAAAAAGATGAGTCAAAAGCCTTCATAAATCGCGTGCCGGCGGATGTCGCACATTGGCGGTTGTGACGCATATTTTGAGCGACGGAGCCGCAGCAGAGGGATGAAAGAGCCACACGTGGCTCCAGAGCCACGGGTTGCAGACCCCTTTTCTATGCAGAGAAATAGGTTCTCCTGCCAAAGAGACAATTGGATCTTCTCCACTCATTCCTGTACATTGATGCTCAAAAGTGCAGCTGATCTAACGTTTTTTTTTTTAATTTGATTTATATGCCGCCCTTCTCCGGAGACTCAGGGCGGCTTACAATGCGCTAAGCAATAGCCTTCATTCTTTTGTATATTTATACAAAGTTAGCTTATTGACCCCACAAACTGGGTCCTCAATTTACCTACCTTAGAAAGGATGGAAGGCTGAGTCAACCTTGAGCCTGGTGAGATTCGAACCTGCAATAATTGCAGGCAGCTGGTCTTATTAACTGGTTATTAACAGGGTGCTTTAGACCACTGTACTACCAAGGCTCTTTTTGTATGCCATTTAGGCACTTTCGTAAAAATCTGGATATCAAGAAGGATCGTCCATTGTGATCTAGCATGCTTTGTGGGAGCATTTGGATCCTGGCCACTGCATTTTATCATTTTGAAACAATGGGGTTATTTCTTGGGATGCAGAAGATCGCCAGAGGTTCCCACAGCCAAACGCTTAAGATCAGGGAGGACAATCTGTTTGCGCAAAACCGCCTCTGTGCGTGACTCAAACTTTTGGAGCCTTTGTTTGATTTTCTCTCAGCCAGGGAGCGTAGAAAGCTCCTGAGCAGATCAAGGTATTGTTCCCATTGGATCAAAGTTCAAATAAACAGATCCAGACTGTGATTCTTGCTTTTTTTTATAAAAAAAAAACAAAACTCACTTCTGGAGCAGAGGTAGCCTTCAATTTGCAATGTTTGTTTAGTGGCTGTTCCATGTTGCAACGGCAGTGAAAACAGGGACTTTCAACCAGTCTGTCAGCGTTCCAGAAAACCCCCAACTCCAATTAAAAACTCCAAGGCAAACATTTTCTCAAAGTTCCATTTATTAGGGTAGGGATACTGGTACATCTGGGAAAACCCGAATCTGAGCGTTCCGGATTTTCCCTCAGTAAATCAAAACCCCCCAAACTATCCCCTCACTCATCAGTCCATCACATGCTCCAATCACCATCTGTCCCATCTCGAGACATCACTCAGACCACTCCTCCTCCAAATGCAGGATTGTCCTGACCTTGACCGCAAAGAAGAATGCTATTTCGTCTAAATACATTCCCTCTACTAAATCCCCCCCTCCTACTTTCCCACACGCGAGAAGGAGGCAGCGTGGAAGCTTCCGGTGCTAATATGGCTTCCAAAGCTGACACAGTCCTTACACTTATGACTGCTGTAGCATTCCCCGTGCTCACATGATCAGAATTTGGGTGTCTGATATAGATGAGACTTGGAGCAAAGCTATTCTCAAATCAAGTGGTACGTTGGTTGAATCTAACCATTATCATTCCTATTCCATAGTTAGCAATGTAGTTCGATGTATGAACCCAACCACAGTGTATAGAAAATCAGCCATTGGCTAGGCACTTGTCGTTATTTAGGAATTCTGAAAGAGAGATTATCCGCTCAATTATCTTTGTCATCCTGAGGACTGAATGTCAGTTAAAGAAATACCGTATTTTTCGGAGTATAAGATGCACCTTTTTTCCCCCAAAAAAGAGGGTGAAAATCTGGGTGCATCAGAAAAAAAGCCTCAGAAACGAAGCTTCAGGAAAAAAGCCTCTGAAAGGCTTTTATGTAAAATACTATGGCAAGCAACAAAAAAAGAATCAGTAAAGGTTCTAACCAAACTATGCTAACAAATCTGGAGAATGACACAATAACCAACAGATCAGAAGAGGTTAATCTATATACCAATACTAAAGAAAGGAGATTGAACAGAGTACAGTTAGTCCTTCAGAAAAAAAAGCCTCTGAAAGAAGCTTCAGAAAAAAAAGCCTCCAAACAGCTTCAGGAAAAAAAAGCCTTTTTTTCTGAAGCTGATTCGGAGGCTTTCAGAGGCAGAAAAAAAGTTTTTCCTGAAACAGAGTTTCAGAAGTTTCAGAGGCAGAAAAAAAAGCAAGAGACAGAACTCACAACCAAGGAACCTGTTGCTAAAATTCACCTCTGGGAACAGCTGATTGGGGGTATTCTGGGAGAAGATAAGGGTTCGTGATGGCGAACTTATGGCATATGTGCCACAGGTGGCACGCAGTGCCCTCTTTGGGCACGCAAGCCGTTGCCCCAGTTCAGCTCCGCTGTGCATGTGCGAGCACCTCCTGCCGGTAAGCTGATCGTTGGGAGGCTGTGCATGCATGCCCAGGGGTGGGGCACAAATGGGGGTGGGGTGCATGCATGGGGGTGGGGCGGGCGAACATGCATTGCATTTTGGGGGTTCGGGCATGCACACTTTGGGCACTTGGTCCAGAAAAGGTTAATCATCACTGATATAGGTGATCTCTTGATATCACTTCCTTCTTATAGCTCTGGCATTTTCTCAGCAGTAACAAAAAACGATTGGCAGGAATTCAGCTATGCCCTTGTAACCGCTTTCAAGTTTGGCTTGCAAGGTTTGGCTCCACCAGCCAGCCCTTCTCTCATTCACTTTTTGGCCCTTCAGACCGACTTTGCAATGCGGAATGATATACGGTGACGACCCTCTTCCACGATTGGCTAAAGATGGGGGTGGGTGCCATATTTTAATTGGCCCATTGAGTGGATTCCTATGGAATAGCTAAGTGGAAGGATCTGAAAAAGAAGGATCATAGGAGGAAGAGCTTGACTTCAATCGCCATATAAAGCAACTAAACTCTTACTTCCTGACGAGCAAATATTCTTAGGAAACAAATTCAAGACATTTCAAGATTTGCACTTTCTAATTACTGGTGGCAGTGCTTACAATTCAAAAGGCTGAATCTTCTATTCTGGCAAATCTTTTTTCAAAAGTAGCTTTAGCTTATATCTTATTTAGCAAGTCTGCAGATATTTTTTTTTTTTAAAGAGCGTTTTTTTTGGATAAGCATCCTTGGTTAATTGATTTGCAAGTCTTATGAACTAAATTAAAAATATTCCGCATCTGATCACAATTATCGGAACTTAACACCTTGGATTTTGAAAACAAACATTGTAGGACTTGCATATTTGACGTAGCAAAGGAGCCTTGGACAATTGTGAGAACCATTCCTGAACTTGATTGATATTTTTGGCCGGGAAACTGATCTCCACTGATCTGAAGAATTGCCTAGCTTTCATCAGCAACCAGGGAAGCAGCAACAGCAAATTGACGTTATGAGAATATGGAAATAATCTTTTTTTAAATTCATTAACAAAACACCTCAGAATCTAAGAAAAAGGGAGCCTTTCTGTAACTTGCATTCAATTAAAATTCAGTTGTGTTTGCCGGTGGAGAACATCTAAGGTAGATGAAAGTTGTTTAAGCAAGGAAGTTCTAACTCCCAATTTCCCAAAATATCTGGCAGAACAGATTGTGCTCTTAATTGGAGTATTGTAATCCTACCGAAGAATTGTTCTGCTATTTCTTGCGGCAATTTTATTGAAAGTTCTGGCTGAAGTGGGATTCCTGAATCTGCTAGAATGGAAGAATTCTGGGTAGTCTGTCTGTGCATGGTTTTGTTTGTCTTGATCCTTATTTTGATGCAGCAGAAGCCAGACGAGATCAGGAAAAAAACAGATGATGAGAAGCCTTCAACCTCCTACAGGCAGTTTGTCAGCAGTGCCGGAAAAGCCCTGGAATACACGGAAGAAGAACTGGAGGCCTCCATGCAGAAGCTAACCAGCCTTTTATTTAGTGCAGATACCCACAAGAAGCATCCTCACTCTCATCACACTGTCCACCAGAGAGAACCTTCAGGAAAAGAGCACCAGGTGAGCCACAATAAAATCCAAATAAAATGAGATAAAATGTAACAGAGGGGGTGGACTTCAGTTTTGTGGGATCTCTTGAGGTCCTCAGCCTTCAAGGTGTGTAACCAGCCCGGCCATTCAGACTGATGATATCTTCTCCAATCTAACATGTCCACCTTTTGAGGTAGCTTACACATGGATTGTTGGGTCACATGTTGCATTTTTGTTGTTCCATTATTCAACGAAACATGGATTGAAGGACATCAATTTTCATGGGTTGAAGGACCATTTCCCCAGAATTGTCATTCATATTTGTCTCTTGAGATCTTGTAAACTCAGGCTGGTGGTATTAGTGTCTTCTGCTGACCTCTTTTCCAAGTGCCTGAAATTTTTCCAAGAACCAAAGTCTTCTCCAGAGACTCTTAATTTCCCATAAGTTATCCAAAATAGTTAAGCTTTAGTTGGGTTTTTTTTTTTTTGTTTTTTTTTTTTGCAAGCAATTTGATTTTTATTATTTGTTCTTTTGGCAGTGAACTATTCCCCCCCCCCAAAAAAAATCACAATTCCAAAGCACCCAGGTTTTCTGATTGCCTAGCTTTCGGTACCTTATGTTGACATGGAAAAAAAAATATGGTCTTGACTACAATTAGGCAAATTTTGGGTTGAGTTTATTCGTGGTTCAGCAAATGGTGAAAAACCTAGATACTTTTTTTGCTGCTTGTATTATGACTCTTCATTCTTAAGCCATTGTATAGGTTTTTTTAGAAACAGAATAACAGAGTTGGAGGGGACTTTGGAGGTCTTCTAGTCCAACCCCTAGCCCAGGCAGGAAACCTTATACCATTTCAGACAAATGGCTATCCAATCTCTTCTTAAAAACTTCCAGTGTTGGAGCATTCACAACTTCTGGAGGCAAGTTGTTCCACTGATTAATTGTTCCCACTGTCAGGAAATTTCTCCTTAGTTCTAAGTTGCTTCTCTCCTTGATTAATTTCCATCCATCGCTTCTTGTCCTGCCCTCAGGTGCTATGGAGAATAAATCAACCCCCTCTTCTTTGTGGCAACCCCTTTTTCTTTGGGCATAGCATATGAAATGACTACAGAATGGTGTGTTGTTAACCTGGGTTGTGTATTTGCTCGTCAGATTTAATGGCTTAGCAGGTTGTGTGAACCTAACCAGCAAACCATGATTAGGTAAATTACCTCTTAGCACAATGTATAAACCCTGTCTATAACTGGCCAGCATCTCTGCAAGATTCATTAAGACAACTGCATGTCATAACTTAGCCATATATATTTAACAAGACAGAAAGTCAAGGCTGTAGAAGAAGGTATTCCTGTTATTTAATTAACTAACCATTTCATTATTTGCAAATCTACTGACTGATCTAGTACAAATCCTTGCCTGTCTGGGTGAAAAAAATTCCAAAGAGACTATTTGAAGTTCAGCCCAACTTTAATGGCCCTAAAGCCATGTTCTCCTAAAATGGACATCCAGATTATAGAGTTGGCCATGGAATATTTATCATGCCCTTCATATCTGTTTCAGTGTGATCCATTAATAAACCTTCTGGTTTTCTTGGCACTAGAAAGAATACCACTAAATTACTGAACAGGCTCATCCCTGCTTAGGTCTGGTTAAAGGCTTTGTGGCCCTGCAGAGCAGAAACCAAACGAAATACATTCTAGACTCAACTCTGGTTTGTAAATTGTGGTTTATGACTTGGTGTGTTCCACGAATGCACGGGATGTGGCTTATTCCACAAGCCACAGTTAAACACGCCAGATTTTAGCATGAAGGTAATCTAAACTGTCCCATCAATACGGAATCATTTATTTCTTTCCATGACAGCTGCCATCCAGAATCTGCAAACTATAGAGGGTAAGCATTTTTTTCCCATATAAATGGGCACGTGTTTCTTTGTTTATTATGCAAAAAAATCTACTCCT